TCTTTCCCTCTTTCTCTTTCTCTCTTTCTCTTTCTCTTTCTCTTTCTCTCTCTCTTTCTCTCTTTCTCTTTCTATCTCTTTCTCTCTTTCGCTCTCTTTCGCTCTCTCTTTCTCTCTCTTTCTCTCTCTCCCCCCCCCTTCCTCCCTCCTTCCCTCCCTCCTTCCCTTTTTCCCTCTCGCCCTTTCTTCCTCCCTTCCTTCCTCTCTTTTCTGTTTGTTTGTGAGTTTTGAGTTTCATCTTGATTTGTTGGGGTATTTTGGGGGGTGGGAGTGCTATGAAGTGAAGGCAACCATGCATCTTACGTGGCAGCTTTTGATTTTGAAGTATTTTGGGATCTTGTATGCCCTCGACTAAGGGGCGTCAAACAAACCTGAGACGAGAGTACACTGAGCCCAGCATCTTCGCGGTGCTCGCCGCGGCTGCGTCTGCAGCCTGATCTCACGCTGTTTATGCTGACAGGCTGTTGTTAGCCCTTTAAATGTTTTGTGCGTCGTCATGTAGCTTTATCATCTTGCCATTATTTGAAAACACAGTTTGTTTTTCTAAGGTAATAATATGTGGTTTGTGGAGCTGCATTAAACAGTAAAATCTCTATTTAGATTAGGGGTTTAGTCATTTTGGGATGAGGAGTTCTAACACAGGATGAAGCAGCTTCCTGAACCCTTGTGTACCTTTAGGGAAATGTGATTGTACAGGAATTCTTCAAGCCATAGTTTTTATATCATCCAGATGTATTCATGATAGCTATAGCAGAAGGAGAGATTTTCTGCTCACTACTTCCCTAGGTCTAAGCATATAAAAGATGCAACTTTTCTCATTCCACAAGTCACAATTTTTTAAACAGGTAAAAATATGAGTTTCTGATACCTCTTTTCACATTTAATGGTATGCTAATCCAAAAATAATCTAAGCCATTTCATGGCAAGATATTCCTCAACATGAGTATCAGGGTCCCAAGAGTTAATTCTGTGAACAGCAGTACTTGGAAAGATGATACTGAATGGTATTGTGAAAGTGAATAAATGATGTAACAGAATGTCCTTGTTTTTTTCTTCTGTGCTATCATCAATTTTTGTTTCCTGGGAAATTAATAGATTAATTTTCCTACAGTTACCTGATTTCTTTTCAGCAGAACTGGAGAAGGTCAAATGTACTTGAGATCTCAGAAGTATTAATGTTAGATTATCCTAAAATATGCGACCATTCAGCTAACATATCGTAAGTCTCTAAGGAAATCCTTAATCAGATGCATGAAGGAAGATACATCATGCCCAACAACAAAAATATCTGTGCAAAGGGCGAAGTTAAGCAGAACAAGGGTGTGCAGATTTGCAACTCTGATGTTTGCATTAAAAAGTCTTCACATGCTTAGGGAATAAAGTATAATTTTATGCTGTCGCGGATTGCTCAGAATGAGCAATGACTCTCTTCTCAATATTCGGGGACTGATCGGCAAGTACTTGGGTTGTGGTGTTGCTGCTTCAGTGCTTCTCCCAGATGCTTGCATGGGAGGAATACACGTTAGCGTAGTACGAGCGTATATAACATGACAAAGATGTTTACTTTTGGTGAACAGGAGTTGCCTTGAACCCTTCCAGCAAACTTGGCCTTCAGTCAGAGGGCAGGGAGGGCACTGCGGTTCCCTGGGTTTGCGCTGAGGGAGCGCCCCAGGGAAGCCTGCGGGAGGCTATGCCGGGGGGAAGGGAGCAGCGCCGCTTGCCTTTGGGCCGCCGTCACACTCCTGAGATAGCTTGGCCAAGCACGCACATACTCTGCTCGCTTCACCTCTTCTTTTGCATAAGTGAAATGAAGATGATGGGCTGGCATCATCAGCATTAAAAAATAAGCCACCTGCAATGAAGTCCTCACCTGTTTGAAATTTGTAAAAGAATGGCTTTTTGTCAGTGAAAAATACTTGAGACTTGGGGGAGGCTACAGAATGGTCCTAGAAAAAAGTTCCTCTAAAATGCTTGCTCTGCCTGCGACCTCATTAGCCAAGCTTGCCAAGCCAATGATGCTCATTGGCTTTGACATTGGCAAAATGGAATACGCAGCCTTCCTTAAATGTTTTTTGTCAACTTTTTTCAAGTGACCCACTTACATAATTGGCCTCTGGCTTAAATTAAAAAACATACATATATATATATTTGATCCCTGACTGATTTAAAGGTTTATACTGGCTAGTAGCACTACATTTTGGATAACTGCTTTAATAGTACTGTGGCTTTTAAAATCGAAACAGTAATTCTGAAACTTTAGCATTAGCTGGGTTTGAAAAAATCACAAGGCTTTTATGTTTTCACTTTGTCATTCGGTTACAATTAAAGGGCAATAACCGTCTGAGGAAGAACACATTAAAGG